CTCAACATCATGAAAATTAAACCTTATTTTCAATAAGCAATCCTGAAAAATATTTGGGGGTGCTTAACTTTTTTCCAGGTGTATACTTATCAAGCTCTCTCTTAAATTCACTTAAATTTACTGCTGCCACAAGAGCCGAAGGCAACTAATTCCAAAGACCAACCACCCTGTTAGAAAAATAAAACTGTCTTAGCTGAAGATGACTCCTACCCTGCTAACATTTATATTTGTGTCCACTAGTCTTACTACTATTACTGTCAAGTATGAAAAAAGATGATGCATCAACACTATCAATTCCCTTTACAATCTTGAACAATCAGATCCCCTCTAAGCCTTTTTCGAGAAAAAATAATTTGATAAATTTCAACCTCGCCTCGTATGACAACCTCTCCATACCAGGCACCATTCTAGCAACCCTTCTCTGAACTCTTTCCAACAATTCAATGTCTTTCCTAAAGTAAGAAGCCCAAGACTGAACACGCTACTCCAAATGTGGCCTAACCAATGTCCTATACCTACCACTAGCAACAGCACACTGCTTATATAGCTTTAGAGACTGATCAACTATTACACCAAGATCCCTTTCTTTCATGAAACTGTTATTGTTATTCCCTTCCAAATTATACTTATAATTGAAATTGTGATAACGTAATAAAACAGTATCCTTTACTTCATTTTTTCCAGGAAGATTTAAAGAGACAAAAACTTGTGGAGGCACAACTGGGTAGTAACATTGAAGAAGACGACGATGTTTTGGGAGTAGGCAAAAAGTTTATATAAAGCAGCAAAGTTTTTTGACAGTATATGATTAAGTTAAACTAACAGCTACAATCTTGCCTTTATTTACTATTCTGCTTCTGTTTATGAAACAAACTGTTTCAAATTAAGCACTCGTGATTTTTTGAATTGCTATTTTATTATATACACATGTATCTCAAATTTGATTAGGATAAAAGAAATTTTAAATTTGATAATACTTAAATACATTATCAATTATTTTGTGAATTAATTATTAATTATTATATGAATTAATTATTAATTATTATATGAATTAATTATTAATTATTATAT